CTGGCTCTGTAAGTCAAATCTCACCCTGGAATTACATAAATCAATTTAGTCTGGACTTCTGTGAAAACTGGGGGGAGGAAGCTAGAAATAATTTCTGAGTTGTCAGTGACTGATGGATGTTCTGATTTCAGAGTGTTAGTAAAGAAAAAGTCTTACCGTAGGTGTCATAGGCATCCTCACTTACTCCATGACCGTAGTCATAGTACTCAGGCACACTGCAACAGATTCAGACAGCAGTCAATGTTACTGTAATCAGGAGGAATCAACCCAGAAACGCGTATGGAATTTGAAGGCAAAATGTGTGTTAAGGTGATATCCCAGGAACTTCTAGGCATAAAACACAATCCTAAGGAAATCTTCAGTGAGAAAAATACAGGTTATAGACAAGGAGTGCTAGGATTTTTTTCATGCCACCTCAGTACTTCTTTACCTCTCTCCTCCAATTTGATAAATCAAATTCCCCCTAAAACACAAGTAGAATACTTCAAAATATGTCAAGAAGAGAGTTATAAAAGGCCTGCTTCCAAGAAAAAGTGCTATATAAGATGACAATCTGGTCAATCATGTATGGCTTTTAATGCTGTTGTCTTCAGAAATATGCATTAATTTCTTCACTTTCAAACACTAAAACTATATTTACACCCCCCTCTACCACTACTACATCATGTCTACACACATCCCAAATATATAAGCTATTTCTTTTCACCCAGTATTTTGCTAGTTGCTTCCATATTTCAATAACTGTCAAAAAGGCATTCTGCCTCCATTTCTTACTCAAAGGATACTTACTGTATCCCCCCATCCTTAAAATTGTCCTCATTTTATCTTGCAGCATCCTACTAGCATCCAAATATCTTATGCATCTCCTATCCTTAAAATGCCCTCCCTCGCCCGCATATCTCCTAGCAACTATCATTTTCTTTATCCCTGTATAGAAAAATTTCTTGAAAAGAGGGGACTCTACTCATTCTTTTCACTGACTCTTTCTCCATATGCATTTGAAGACATCCAATCCTGCTGTTGTTCCCACTGCTCCACTGAACAGCTCTTGTCAAGATCATGGTATTTTCAAATCCAATTAGGTCATGACTTAGTTCTCATTTACTTTAGCCCCATTTAACACAGTTGATCATTTCCTGCTCCTTCAAATACTTAGCTTGCTTCTGAGATCTCCTCTCTCAGGGGTCTCTTAATTCACTTCAATTCTTTATTCTTCTTTTCTAGTAACTTCACACTTTCCCAATCACTGAATCCTGGAGACCACTGGGACTCAGTTATTAGAATTTTTCTCTTTTCTATTCATACTCCCTAGGGAATCTCATCTGAGCCTATGACTTTAATACCAGCTCTACTCTGATGACTTCCAAATTACATCCCCACTGTTGGCACCCCCCTGCTACTCTGGTCTCACGTATCCAACTGCCGAGTGTATGTTTCCATTTGGATGCCAAACAACATGTTCGAATACAAAAACATTTATTTTCTTGGCAACTCAGACCTGCTCTTTTTGAATTCTTCCCATCTTTATCAATGACAACACCTTGATTATTGTTACTCATGCCAAAAATTTCATTCCTTTCATTTCTCTCGCACCTAATGTTCAATCCAACAACAAATTCTTTCACTTCTCCTTGAAAATACATCCAGAATCTGAATACAGTCAAACATCTCCACAGCTGTGCCTATGGTTAAAGTTATTACCATCTCTCACTTAAACAAATACAACATCCTTCTCACTGGTCTCTGTGCCCTGCTTGCTCTCTGTCTATTACACACATAGCAGTCAGTCTTTCTTATAGAAGGAAGTTAGATCACATTAGTTCTCTACTCAAAATCCATCAATAGCTTCCCATATCCTTGAGGGAAAAAATTTAAAAAATTCATATTTTGCCTACTCAATTTGTAACTCTGGCGTTTCTCAGATCTCACCCTCCACCACTTTTTCCTTGCTCACTCTATTCAGGACACACTGGACTCTTTGCTGTTCCCTGAAAATAGCAAACACGTTATCGTCTTAGGGCCTTTTCATTTACAATTTCCACTACCTGGAACATGCTTTTTGTACCTATCCAATTGTCCCTTTTCTCACTCTTTTAGAGCTCACTCAAATGTCACTTAAGAGAGGTTTCCTTGATTAATCTACTAGTCCTCACCCATCCTTACCTTGCTTTGTTCATCTCGACATTAACCAATCACCACTGTACATGTTATGTAGGCAAACATACAAACACACATTTGTTTGTTTACTTATCTGCTCTTTCCCACTTCTAGAATATAAGGTTCTTGATACAGGAACTTGGTCTCTTTTTTATTCATTTGCTCTCAATGTTCAAGGCTGATTTTCTAGAACAATGTTTGGCACATGACAGCTGCTCAATAAATATTTATGGAACAAAATAATTAACTGTTTGCAGGAATATTAGACAACATTTAAATGAGTAACCCAATGTAACAAAGTGATAATTTTTAAAATACTATACAGAAAGTGAAAATTACTTTAATTTAAGTAAGTATTTGGATAATGAATTCATATATTTTAATCTTCTGAGGTATCTATAAATATTTATAATACATTATATTTTCCCCTCAAATACACTCATTGGTTTAGAGTTAGATGTTGATCATTGTCTTCCACCTGAATCTTAATTGATAAATTATCTCAAGATTACTAATTCCTTTTAAGTATATAAAAGTATGACAAGAAAATGGCTTAATATCAAAAACCCAATTGTATAAGTTGGACGATGGGGGAGAGATGCCAAAAAGTTAGATTGAAAGAAAAGACAGATACATCCCATTCTCTGAACATGGTTGTCAGTATCTCTCAAGGGAATTCTACAGGTCTCATTATATTAAGTATTCCATATTTTATTGATAGTAAAGAAAGAGGAACAAGAAAAAAGAATAAAAGTCTATATGCTATAGATGAAAAGACAGAGGGAAGTCTGATCATCTTTATCTTCCTGGGATGCAATTTATAATATACTAACTTCAATTTAAGTAATTGCCTAGCTCAACCCTCATTGCCCAGGATATTTACATACAAACTGTGCAGGAAAAACGTATGGTAATGTGTTCTTCTCCCTATTCTTCTAATGACTTGAGACTGTAGAAAGCTAATGCCACTGGCTGGTAGCTGGAGGTTTATCTCTTCTTTCATATACTTATCTTAATGAGAATGATGCAACCCAATTCAGAATCCTCATTTAGGTGTGACAAATTCCTGAGAGTTGTTACATTGATTCCCTAAATGATCAAGAAGTGGCAATCATATGAAAATGATTTAACAAGCAGCATTGCCATTTATAGGGATAAACAGAAAAACGGTGGCATTGACAGAAGCTTCTCCCTGCCTTTGTCACGATCAATGCTTTTTCTCTGAGTAAGCCTCTGATTATGTTTCCCAAAGTGTGCTGTAGGAAGGCAAGTAGCACCAAACTCAATCTAGTGGCATTACAATTTAATATATTTCTCACTTTTAATTTTAGTTGAATGGGAGAGAAAAAGAACAATCTTCAGAGAGAACATGATAAAGAAGCTGCAGTTATTGTTCATCATAAGCGATACACACAAGAGGGGATTTTAACTTTTAGAACTCTAAAAAAGGGAATATGGAACATATAAGATATTCGTAAAATAATGGATAACGTAAGATAATAAAAATAATGAATGGAACATGGGATGTGTGCAGAGGGGAGGATGGCAATCGAGTTCATTTATGATTTAAGAAGAAGATCCTCATCTCGGATTTGTGCACCTTCACCTTTTCAGTTCATAGAATGCATTCAAAGTGACGATCTAGCACCTACCATGCAGATAGAGACAGTGCCTAAGGAAGTCATGGACTGCAACATGGAAGAAACCTCTGCCTGTAAATGATCACATGGAGCA